ACCTTCCAGTACCTGATTCTGAGTTATTGTTAGAAAGAATGACAAATATGATACAGTGGCCAATGAAGAGTTTCCAGGCCCAAGTGGGTCATTTATTTCTCTGAGGAAATTCTGCCACTTTAAGGTTTTAGAAGGCTTGTGGTATTGGAAGGGGCATTAGCCCCCTCCACCTCAACCAGGCCAGAAATTTTTCAGAGGGCCCCCATTACTTTGATAAGGCACTATATTCTCCATTTTAAAATTTAAATTTGCCCTGGTTGGTGTGACTCAGTTGGTTGGACCATCGCCCTGTGCACCAGAAGGTCACAGGTTCAATTCCCGTGTGCGCTCCCCCCCCTTCTCTAAAATCAATATTTAAAAAATAAAAGTTGAAAAATGTAAATTCTCCTTCAGCTGAGAGTTTTAGCCATTCATATTTGTTTTTCCTACTTCTCAAAAAGAGGCTTGGGTTAAAAAGAAAGTTTGAAAAACACTGCAATACTACCTTAGTGAGAGTTTATGTGGTCTATTCAGGAATTCATTCAGCAAACAAGGATTAATTAGAATCCTGGATATCCCTACTTTTGAAGTTCTCATGGTCTAAAGCAGGCCTGTAAAGAGGTAAATCACAGCCACTGTCTAAATATTATGGGAAAAGCCTAGGCTTCAGAGCCACAGACCTGGGAGGGAATTGCATTTCCCTCATTTCATAATGGTGCCATCTTAGGCCATGCAATTGAATTCTGTTTTTCATCTGTAAATTGAGTTGAACAAAAACAACTTCACAGGATTGTGAGGACCATGTGAAAGACAAAGTGCTTCAGGCAACTAAGGAGATGATTTTATTCAGGTTAAATCCATAGGGAGTAGGTTCAAAGGGAAAAAAGCAAAGTTGGAGTTTTATAGAGGCAGGTAAACAAAGGAGGCATCAAGAAGTCTTATGGGAGTCATGAGGAAGTATGGAAAGGATCCTCTCACAGAATATTCCAGGGCAATGTGGTCCTTTACAATGAACTGTTCTTTGGAACACAAAAGTGTGGGAGAGTTTCTCAACTGTGGCTGCTTTCCTGGTAAGCATTCAGCAAGTGTTTCTTTTCCTTCTTCCAATAGAAGAATGTACAAAGTGATGTGGGGGTTCAGAGAAGAACCTGACAGGTTTACTCTGTCTGGGAGAACTAGATTTGACAAAGGATCCTGAATCTTAAAAGATAAATAGTGGTTTTCCAGAAAGAGGGAGGAAAGGAGAGCATTCTAAATAGGGCTAACTTAATAGAAGAAAACATACAGGCTTACAAGAGGTTTGTATATTTAGAAATTGGCTGTAACTACAATGTAGTACAAGGAGTAACTAGACACGAGGTAGGTTTGAACCAAATTGTCAAAACCCTTGAAAAACTACTTAATGCCTACTGTTTCAGGAAAACAGCCCAGGAATTTATGATTCTAACAATATGAGGTTCTAGTTTATGAAACCCCTTCTCTGCTGTGTAAGGGATAGAAGCAGGGAGACCAGTTAGGCAGGTAGTACATGAGCCAGAGAGGACCAAGGCCCGAACTAGCACAGTGGCCATGAAGTTGTCATGGAAAATATTGATTAAAAAGTAAGTAGAATTTGCTAGACATATTATGTAATTGTGGTGAAGGGAAGTAAGTGGTAAGAGGAGGTGGAAGAGTGAAGGATGGTAATATTAATAACAATATAGGCCAATATTTCAAGTGCTTACAATGTTCCACAAATGGTATTAAGAATGCTATACTTATCTCTTTTAACTCATACAATAGTTCTAAGAGGTAAGTGTCCTTTTTCTGCATTTTCAGATGAAGAAAATGAGGCATAGAGAAGTTAAATAACTTGCTCAAGTTTTCACATATAGTAAGTAGTAAAGCCAGAATTCAAGACCAAGTTGTCTGATTGGGAATTGAACCAGTGACCTCCTGGTGCACGGGACTATACTCAACCAACTGAGCAACACTGGCCAGGTGAAAGTATTTTATTTTTTAACTCAATTCAATATCGAGTGCAATAGGCAATTGATTCAATGATCTTGAGCTCCAGAGAAATATTAGGACCAGAGCTATAGACTTGAAGGGCATCAACATATAGGTGTTTAATCAGTAGGGGCCTCAGGACTAACTTAGGTCAGTGGGATGCATAAAGTGGGAGTTGGAGAGGGATGGTGAAACAAACAAGGGGAAGCAGTAGTTGAAGACAAAGTTGACCAACTTCAAGATTTCATAGGCTATGCCTTAGACTTGGAGAATGCTTGTTTACTTCAAGCCCACAGGTATAGCTGAAGGTGTCCCACAGCACCATATGCCTAGAGATTCTCTTTTCTTTTTCGGTGTCTAGAGATTCTTGGGATTTTGAGCATGTGCAATATATATATATATATATTAGGCTGAAGAAATAAATCCTCCCGCTCCCCCCTCAAAAAAGACATCCACATCATAATCCTAGAACATGTGAAAATGACATTATATAGTAAAAGAGATAAATATAAAATACTACTATCTTATTAGGTAAAATCAATTTTAAACTAAATCTAATTGCAGAGATAATCAAATTAAAGATCTTGAAATGGGGAGATTATCCTGGATTATTCAGGTTGGCCCTAAATGCAATCACATGTAGTAAAAGGAGGTAGAGGAAGATCTTATGAACACCAGAAAATGTGAAGACAGAGCAGAGAGACATTTGAAGATGCTGACCTTGATCATTGGAGTGCTGTAGCTACAAGTAAAGGAATGCCAGTAGTTACCAGAAGCTGGAAAAGACAAGAAACAGATTCTCCTCTAGAGCAGCTAGAGGGACTATATCCCTGCCAGCACCTTGATTTTAGCCAAATAATGCAGAGTTTGGACTTCTGACTTCCAGAAATGTGAGATTCTGAAGGTGAAAGGGTATCTGGTTTCTGGCAGATACCTGGCTAACTCGTTGGCATGATTACTCAGAACAGAGTAACCGTCATTCAAGAACCATGGACAGACTACATTTTAGGAGAATCTGGCTGAAGAAGTACATATAGAGAATAGACTGGAATTTGCTGCTGCAAAGTGAAAAAAAAAAGCCTACTTACAGCAGTGATATTCAGATTGCTAACAATAGTTCTCTCTCTAATATTAGATTGGAAAAAACTTCTGTGAGGATTGGGACGGAGTCCTGAACACATTTTAGCCAACCTGTAAAATCAGAAGATGTACATAAAATTGCTTCCCTCTCAGAACTGCAGAATTCCAAGGAATTACCTAGAAAAATTAAGTATACCTTTGTGGATGGTGAAACCAACATAGCAGTGGAATGCTGGCAGAGTAAAATCCTTACAACTTTCAGCTATGAAAGAGAACCTAGATCACCCATCCTAAACCCTTCATTGTACAGATGAGAAAACCCAGCAGATTTTTCAACTCAACTTTGGATATATACAAACTAGTGGCCCGGTGCACAAAATTCATGCATGGGGGTTGGGGGGCGGGGAGTCCCTCAGCCCAGCCTGCACCCTCTCCAATCTTGGACCTGGCAGTCAGACATCCCTCTCACAATCTGGGACCACTGGCTCCTAACCGCTCCCCTGCCGGCCTGATCACCCCCAACTGCCCTCCCCTGCTGGCCAGATATCCTCCAAGGCTTTTATTAGTATAGATATGACCCTTCACAGAAAATTTCACTAACTCTGCTTTGCAATAAGGGCTTGACGATTGAATCAATAGGGCCAGACACCAAGATTTCCTTTCTTTGAATAGTGGAGGGAATAATTATCTTGTCTTTAAGTTGCCCTGAACACCAAATGAGATAATGACTTAGAAAAGCATAAAAGCACCATATAAAGACAACTGTCTTTTTCATGTACTGAAAAGACAATAAAGTGGTTAAATGAAAAACACTATTTTTAATCTCCGGGCCTCAGTGGGGCGGGCGCGGGCTTGCTTTTGGGCCTAGGCGGGAGCAGGAGTCCCAGCCTCTCAAGTGCCCAGGCCGGGGCGAGGCCCGGTTAGCGCCCGGAGCTTCACCGAACCGCCGCAGTGGGGTACCCGGCAGTGCGGCCCCTGCACTGAGGTGGCGCCGCCCCATAACCCCAGCCTCAGGGCTGCGGGTCCTCGCCACTCCCCCCTGGGCATCCTTCCACGCCTGCAGTCATCACCTCTTGTTTCCCGGGTCTTGGGGCCCCTGCAGAACCTCGCTCTCCTCGGGCGAGACAGATCCCCGCCTGCAGGCCCCCTGTCCCGGCCCGAGTCCCCTTCGGTGCACCCCGCCTAGGTGCCGCTCTGCGCCCCTTGGGCCCCCGCCTCCTGGCCGGCCTCTTCGCCGAAGCCGCAGCGCTCACCCAGGAGCTGCCCCTCAGGCGGAGGCCTGTCCTCGCGCCTGCAGACCCCCTGACCCCGACTCCTGGCCGGCCGCTTTGCCAAAGCTTCCTCTTCCTTCAGGCGCTCTCCTCAGACCCCCGGGAGCTTGGTTCCGGGGGCCCTGCCCCTCCGTAGCTCCTGCAGCCCCCGCTCTGTTCTCCCCGGCAGCCCGCCTGTCAGGACGCTGCCAGGGCGCCGTGCTGCGGGCAGCGCGGTCCTGGTGCAGGGGGTGGGGGTGTGGGGAGCAGCTCCAGCAAAATAGTAAACCCCAGGTCGGCTTTGGGATTGACTGCGGGCCACTGGGGAATCTGCCTGGGCGGGACGAAATGGCGCTTAGATCGGAGTGCCACTCCGGCCCTGCAGCCACGCCCACCCGTGAACGGTTGTCCCCTTACGGGCCTAATTTGCTAATTTGCATATTACCTCTTTATATATTAAGATTATATATTAAGATTAGATATTCTGTAGTTTTGCTTCATAAGCACATTTCCAGTACATGGGACAGTCACAATTCCTCTCTTGCCCGCCAGGGGGCGCAAACTAAAATTCCTCCTGCATTCCAGACTTCTGTCCCGATCTGGGATGGAGAGACCTGTTTGCAACCAGGAAATCAGCGGAACCTTGAGGCCGAAGGCTTGTTGTTGGTACAGCTACTTTGAGAAAGAACACTTCCGGCTGACGAAGACGTACCCTCAATTTGTGGTTCATCTGGTCCCCGGCTCTCACGTTCCGATTTGTCACGCTAACGCTGGGAGGAGGGCTTGCGTTGGAGGTCACACTGTCCCATTGGCTGCTGGCGCGGTGGCGGTTTGAAGTGAGGCTAGCGTGTTGAGCTGAAGTTTCTGAGGAGTGTCGCGGCCCAAGGCTTAGCGTTTAGCCGAGAGTATGGTGGGAATCCAGGACCAGGGCCGGGTCAGGTCTGGGCCTTCCGGGGGGATGGATCTGGTGTGGAGTGCGTGGTGTGGGAAGTTCGTCAAAGATAAAAGCTTGTCGCCCCTCTGGGCCCAGCGCATCGTAGTCGCCTGGCTCAGTAAGGCCGAGTGGGATCAGGTGACGGTGTATCTGTTCTGTGATGACCATAAATTGCAGCGGTACGCGCTGAACCGCATCACAGCATGGAGGAGCAGGTAAGGCAACCTGCCTGCATGCTGCTGGCACCTTCCTTTGTGGAATTCCTATAAGGCCCTATTTTCCCTATGAGTGGCTTGGGTGTTGCTTCTCTCAAGTGCCTGGGGGAAAGTCGCAGCCAAGCTCTTGCACTAATCCTAGTTGTGGAAAGAAAGGGGTGTTGCCTCAGCAACCTTCTTGTTAAATCTGCGATCTTTTACCTTTCTCTCCTCATCTTGGGGAGGGTGCCAGAGAGCCAGGGCTTAAGGAGTAGGTTAGTATCCTAGGGTGTATTTCCGATTTGAATTAGGTAGGTTCCGGGAGAGCTTGCCTGCAAAACCATTTTTGAATGGGGCGCCTCAGCCAGTTGGTAAGATTTATTTGGAAGCAGACAAGGTATAAAAGTCTCAAGGAAATAAGAGTCTTATCTAGCAGAATGAGTTGAGGGTTTAAGGGGAAAGAAGGGGTTGTGTCCATGCTGAATTGTTGGTTGATTGCATAGCAGTTAGATGTTGTCTGTGTAACCTAGCCAACCTCTCATTCCCTGTATATTATTGGATCCCAGGGTCATTACCCTTCCTCTTCCCACCGTCTTGATTTATGTCTGTTCATGTACACTTGAGCCAGTATATGCAAGGATGGGCAAAAGTAGATTTACAGTTATAATACAAATAAATACAGTAATAAATAATAATACAGGAATAAACTGTGGTTTGGATACTCAGAATGTAAACCTACTTTTGCACATCCCTGTATTTGGAATAATCTACAGCAACCTAGATTCTGAGGTGGAGGGTGGACCAGTGTTAAGGGACCTTTATGATGGTGCTGGACTGTGGCTCTTTAGGTTAGGCAACGAACTGCCCCTGGCAGTGGCTTCTACTGCTGACCTGGTACGCTGTAAGCTCTTGGATGTAACTGGTGGCTTGGGCACTGATGAACTTAGACTGCTCTATGGCATGGCACTGGTCAGGTAAGACCTACATGGGTAGGGGTGGAGGGTGGTTTGGGGGCAGAGATGGGGTGGGGTAGCATGTGACAAACAAATCTTGGCTTCAGGTGAAACCTGAAGGAAAAAGCCCTGTGTGTCCATGTGTATGGGTCACCCTGTGATTGCTTGACTTGACAGATTTTGTTATTCCCTGTCAACACACATTCCTTTTTTTCTTCTCCTGAGAGCCTTCTCTCTTCCATTTTCCTTTCCTTCTCTTTCTTAGAATGTGGGGTAGTTCAGACTAGTGATCCCTGTAGGTCTCTTCCAGCTTTGACAGGTTGATTTCTTTCTTTCCTCTTTAAGTCTTTCACCCAGAGAAACTTTTCGGAATGGTTCAGTGCCCTGGCCATGATTTAGTGTGGATTCTCCAACTCTACCTCATCTATACCTAGCACTACCCTTTACCCTTCTCTGAAAGATTGCTGAGTTGTGGAAGTGGAGACATGGGCTGGGAGTTCCTGACTTACAAAGTGACTCAGAGTGGTTCTGGCTATCTCATGCACATTGGGGAAAAGGCTGCTACTGAGTTTTCTCATCTCAAAGATTTTGCTCATCTCATCCTATTCCCCTTGTCTGCCTTGAGGTCATTCCTAGCTCTTCGTACCTTCTCCATTGTTAAGCTGTGCTCCCCATATCATTTGACCTACTCTCTTTTTAAAAAAAATCTAGTTTTATTGATTTCAGAGAGGAAGGGAGAGGGAGAGAGAGATAGAAACATCAATGATGAGAGAGAATCATCGATCTGCTACATCCTGCACGCTCCCTACTGGGGATCGAGTACATGCCTCGGAATCAAACCGTGACCTCCTGGTTCATAGTTTGACACTCAACCACTGAGCCACACCAGCCGGGCAGTCCTTTGTTCTAACACTTAAAACCTAGAATGTTGTAGCATAAATATGTTATATTATGTCATGACTATCCTAGACTGAACTCTTCCAGTGTCTTATTTATCTATATGGCTTTAGTACAGGGCAGACTCTCAGTAAATGTTGGACTGTATGGAACCATCCTTGCTCTGGCTGACACCAACCATAAGAACAGGACAGAACAGTCAGTGGAAAGGTTGTGGAATGCAAGCTGTCATTAATTCAGCAAGGTGTTTTGAAGCCCTACTGGTTTGAGTAAAACAGTTACTTGGGCTGTGCCACTCATTTCTCCCCTAACCCCAGGTTTGTGAATCTTATCTCGGAGAGGAAGACAAAGTCTGGCAAGCTCCCCCTCAAGTTCCTGGCTCAGGAGGTGCGTATGATAAAGTGGTCTTGCTCAATTCTCTCTCCCCAGGAGAGCTCAGTAAATGGGGCATGGGGTGATGTGGGCACACAGTAAGGCTAGTTCATTCCATCACTGCCAGCCAGCCAGGCAAGAACCCCAGAGACTCAGCCTTCGGCTTGAAAGAAGCCAACTTCCTCCCTTATTTATGAGTGCTATCTTCAGTGGGCTTGGCCTTCCCATCTTTCTGAGAGTAGCCCAGTGAAGCCAAGGTACCCAAATGGAATGCATTACTGGGTGGGGCCAGGAAAGAGGTTGCCATCACAGCACCTGCCCTCTGGGAGCTGACAGTTTGAGGGAGAAGATAAGCTCAGCCAGGCAGCATGAAAATACCAGGTATTCCTGCCCTGAGTATGTGAGGTATGTAGAGGGCAGGAGGATTCTCAGCCATCAAGTGAAGCTTCCCGGAGGAAGGGTGGGAGGGAGGGAGGAAGGTAAGGGTACCCAGGGAGGGAGACTGGTACAGGCAAGAGAGAGGAAGTCTGGAGAAGGTGGTTTTTGATGCTCATTTATAGGAATCTCTTTGTTGGAGGAATGTGGTTGGTGGTTGGGGGATGCAAGTATCGTTTTATTTTCTAGTTTACCTCCTCAGAGCGGTAAAAAGAATCAGGAGACCTGGTTTCTCATCTTGGCTCTGCCAGAAAGACTGAAACCTCCTCTCAGGACCTCAGTTTCTCTAACTGTAAAATGGGGGGAGGCCAAGCTAATTAATTTCTGTGGTCTCCTCCAGCTTTAACATTTTCTAATTTCTGCACTCACACCCTCCCTCACAATCAGGTGAACATTCCGGATTGGATTGTTGAACTTCGCCATGAGTTGACCCACAAGAAAATGCCTCATATAAATGACTGCCGTAGAGGTGAATCCCTAAGGAATGTCTATCATGAGCCCGGGATCCTGGGTTGGGTGGCACTGGGGGGAGAGGGAGAGGGAGAGGGAGGAAGGTCTTCACCTGGGGTCAGAGCCGGGACTAAGGTGAGGCAAGTGAGGCACTCGTCTTGGGTGCAAACTTGAAAAGCTCAGTAATCATGATAGATAACATTTCAATGTGGAAAAACCCATAATGAACAAAATACCAACATTTTAAAATGAAGACAGGATTAGTGTTATTGAATTATCCTTTTGCTTTAGACTCCAATATGGGTTGGCAGAGCACTGTTCTGATCTGAATTGTGTTTTTCTGGCTTCCCCTTAAATTTTATGCCTGAGGAGGAGGTGAATGGGAGTATGTTGAGAGGTGTGAGCCATAAAGTGTAGGAACTCAGCAGTTCTTTGGACACTCCATTCCAACTAAGAACCTCTGATTCAGCCTAGCCCCTTCATGTTGGGGAAACTTGGCCAAGGCCATGTAACTACCTAGTAGGCTGTTCCTGTTCTCCCACTTGACAGCCCTGTGCCATTTTTGGCTTCCTATATGTAAATCTGGTATTAGTTTTTTTCTAGGAAAGGTGCTATTAAGCAGGAGAAAGCAAAGGACGGGGATTACTGAGAGGAAGAAGGTCTGCTTCTGGATGTTTAAGATTTGTGCCTTCTTGGAGCCAAACCTTTTCTATTTGGCCTTCCCATAGTGCTTGCAAAATGAGCTGGGGGCCTGCTAGGAGCTTTCATGTGGCTGCTCCTAGGGCACTGCCTTCTTTCCTCCCCTCTTTTAGGTTGCTATTTTGTTCTGGATTGGCTCCAGAAAACCTACTGGTGCCGCCAACTGGAGAACAGCCTGAGAGAGACCTGGGAGTTGGAGGAGGACAAGGAAGAGACAGATGAAGACAACCAAGAGGAATCAAAGAACATTGTTGATGACATCACAGAACAGAAACCAAAGCCTATGGATGAAGGGAAAGGTGCAGAGCTGGATGTCAGGGCTGATGGAGACAGCACAGGTGACAAAGAGATTGATGCACATTGGGAGAAGGCTCAGAGACATAAAGAGCTGTATGGTAAGTGTCCTTAGGTAAGGCAGAGAGGGATCCATGAACCTGGAAGACTCAGGTGTAGGGTTAATACTGGTTATTTTCCATGCTCAGCATTTCGTCTGGGGTTGTGGTGAGTCTTAGCTTAAAAGAATTGTAGACACAAACCATCTTCCTTGAGTCCTGTAAGGTAGGAGAGGCAAGAATTCTAGTTACTCAACAAATGATGTGAGAAAGGCTCAGAATCCCCTATCAGTAGAAAGTGCTAGGCTGCCTGTCCTATCTGTTTCCCTCTTTTGTTTTCAGAAAGAGCCCGAGAACTACTGGTATCATATGAAGAGGAGCAGTTTAAGGTAAGAAAGTGCCCTTGACTTGGCATATTTTCACCTGCCCCAGCCACTTCTTCCCTTTTGCCAGCTACCTGAGAGAAGTCCTGAGGAGGAATTTGAAAGAAAAATGGCAAAGCTTGAGGGAACTTCTTGGTAAGAGAGTGGGGGGACTAGGAAGGAGACAAGAGGAGCAGAGTCCAGTTGGCTGATCCCCCACATCGATGGAAGGGAGCAGATAATGGAAGTTTGTGGATAATCTATCTGTCTCACTGAGTGGTAGGGAGCAATTGGGCATAGGTGGTTGCATAGCCCTGCAGTACTGCAACTAATCAGCAGATGGTGCCCAAAAACTTTACTAGATCTGGTAAGCTTGAGGGGTGCTGTTTTTTAGCGGGAAGGGAGGTAGCTTAGAAATCATTTAGCTTAACCCTGCCTTTTCTCCAATGAAGAAATTGAATCCATGGATAAGTGAATTGGCCCAAGGTCACATGCAGTTAGCGATGGAACCAGGAATAGAATTTGTGTCTCCAGATTACCTTTCTTCCATTGATTTCCCTCACCCCTTGGCCCAACTCCAACCAAATGCCCCTAATGAACAATTCAGTATTAGGGTATATGGTGATTGGGAGCCACAGGGAATTAAGGGGTGGGAGGAGGAGGAGGAAGGGGAGAATATCTGGTATTTGAGGTTCAGGATATTTTTAGTTTCAGGTCCCATAGAGGAGAGGTGAGTCCATTCCTGTATGTCCTGCCCTGGCCCCTTAAGGAAAGTGCTGAGAGGTCTTATGGGAAGGGATCATGGAGGGGTTGGGGGTGGGTTGCCTGGCTAACCCAGCCTTCTGATAGGACCCTCTTTGCTGGCAGGTACTGGAGAAATTTAGGTATTTACCTCAGGCTGTTAAGGTGTGGAATCAACTGCCCCCGCCTGTAGACTGTATCCTGGCAGAACTCAAGGGCATTACATGCGAGAACAGGTGTGTAATTAAGTAATCAAGGGCTGCCTACTCTCTAGGGTAGAGTGTAGCAGCCTCACTGAAATGAGTTTCTATATCTCAGCTTGCCAACTTCTGCTGTAGGAAATCTCAGTGATAATTCTGATTCCCCATGGGGTGACCCTGCATTCTGCATGACCCTTTTTCTTCTGCCCTGGCAGTTACTAAATCACTTCAATGGCCAGAGGCAGGAGGTCTACTGTTATCCATCTCCTAGCTAGGTCTGCCTTCTCTGTCCAGTGGTTGTGGAGCTCTTGGCAACTAGGAAAAGGCCTTAATCCTTACCATTTTGCTGCCTAGCCCTTGTCCAAATTTGAGGTAAAAGATATATGATGGGCATTGCTGGTCTTTTCTTTTGAAATTCTGTCAGAGTATCAGCAACCCCTGGATAGTTGTGGTTGGGGAAACAGGAGGGGCCTTCCCAGGGCCTGGCTCATCAAAAGACTAAGTCCCTCCCTATTCAGTATGGCCACCAACTCCCCCTGCCCCAGTAGTGTTCAGACAGTGTCTATCCATTTCTCTCCTTCCTAGCTCTTGGGGGCTTGCTACCTAAATTTAACTAGAAAGAAGTTTGGGGAACCTTCCACTGAGAACCTGCGGAGGAAGTGCTATACCTTCCCAGCTAGAGAGACAAATGAATCTGGGATGGAGCAGAGAAGGTAGGAAGGTGGTATGTAAGTGGCAGAGTAGGCCTGGGTGGGATCCTGCAGTGAAGGTTGGGGTTGCCCTTGGAGTCTTCTTCACTTCCAGGATACTGCTAGGTCCAAACATGTTTAATCAATGTTTGCTCAGCCTAGGCTTCTTGGCTGGCCCCCTCAACAGTTGGGAAAACTATCCTTGTGCCACTATACCAGCCGTGGGCAAGCTATGGCCCACGGCCCGGATCCGGCCCGTTTGAAATGAATAAAACTAAAAAAAAAAAAGACCGTACCCTTTTATGTAATGATGTTTACTTTGAATTTATATTAGTTCACACAAACACTCCATCCATGCTTTTGTTCCGGCCCTCCGGTCCAGTTTAAGAACCCATTGTGGCTCTCGAGTCAAAAAGTTTGCCCACCCCTGCACTATATGGTAGTATCTGCCTGGTTGTGCTATGCAGGCAGCTAGTAGGCTGCTTTATGTGCTCTTCCTGAATAATGACCTGAGGAGATGGGAGATGGATGGAAAGACAGACAACTATTTCCTTCTTTAGCCTGGTGGAGGGTGGGATCTGAGCATGACAACTCTCCAGGTATTGAGATACTTTGGGAACTCTTGTTTCCCCTCTAGGCCTGTTCAGCTAGTAGAGCCTCTCTTGGGAAACTGCTAGCTCTGGAGGAGACCGCTGGCTAGTGCTGGTTTCAGTTTGAGCTAGATAGGGGTGAGGAATTACTCCTACTGCCTACACTTTCAACCTCTATAACTTAGCTCTGGGTTCTTGGGGTCCCTAGGAATAAGGATCATATTCAGTCTAGCAATGAAGTCCCCAAAGTTTCTGCTTCTAGGATCTGAAAGAGAGCAACTTGGGAGAAGTGGAGAGGTAGGAGACTGGAGCACTGTCCAGAGACACAGTCTGAACAGGAACTAACGGGTGAAATTCCTTGACCCTTTGACTCCAGACGTTTAACTCCTCCGTGGACCTTAGACTTTTCTCCATCTGTGCTTTCAGGCTTGTTCAGTCGCTGCTGCCCTTATTATGGGCCTTAGGTCAGCATGTGCTTGGTAAACACTTGTTCAAAACCCACTGATCTTAGTCTCTGGCCCAGCCCCTACCCCAGGAGGCTGAAGCCTGAGACACAACTGTCAACTATCTTCCCTTCCCCGCCCCCATGCTGCTTTAGCCACTTGAGCCAGAGGCATTAGCTAGCTGCTTTGGGAGTAGATAGGCGGGTAGGAGAGGGTCATCTGCCTGGCTTCAGTTTGTTTAATTGAGTGTCATCTTTCTCCAGGGAAGCTGTGCTGGATGCTTTTCTAGATGATGGCTTTCTCATCCCCACATTTGAGCAGTTGGCAGCTTTGCAGATAGAGTATGAAGGTAGGGTCTTGGGGGCTCACTACTGCCTAGGGTCCTGTGTTTTTTGGGCAATAACATCAGGGGTGGGCTGGGTGGCCCTGGGATGGGGGGTGAAAGGTTGTTTCCTGCCATTCCATAGCCTCTGGAAGCCCCACTGGGCTGAGCAGAACAGGTAGCCTCACTTATAAGCCCTTATAGGGCTTTTCTTAGGTGGCCTGGAATTGTGCGGGGTGAGGTGTGGTTGGGTTGGGTTGGGGGAATCTTAATGCCATTATTGTGCTGTGTTAATTGTGATTTAGCCACTTGCTAGAGAGCTAGAACAGCAGAACTGGAAGGGCCTTGTGAGGTCATCTAGTTCAACATCCTCATGTTACAGATGGGCAGACTGAGGTCCCGAGAGGGGAAGGTACTGACCCAGAGTCACACAGTGAGTTATTGACAGAGCTGAAGCTAGAACCAGAGCTCTTCTTCTTTTATACTGTTTTGAGTCAGTTGTTCCTTGTCTGATACTAACTAGTTTCTCTCCCTGCTGCTCTGCTCTTCTCTTTCCTCCTGCTCTGCAATGGCATCTCTGTTTTTGTTGGTGGTGGGGCCGCCTCTCTTTATTCCTCTCTCTCCTCCCCTTCCTTCTCTTCTTCCCTCTACCTCCCCCCTTCCTGTCTCCCTTTGCACCCCCACCTCCGCTTTCTCTTTCAATGCGTGACCCTTACAACCAGAAAACGTGGACTTCAATGATATCCTGGTACCAAAGCCGTTCTCTCAATTCTGGCAGCCTCTGCTCAGGGGCCTGCACTCCCAGACCTTCACGCAGGCCCTGCTAGAGAGGATGTTCTCCGAACTGCCAGCCTTGGGGAACAGTGGGATCCGGCCCACCTACATCCTCAGATGGACGGTTGAACTGATCGTGGCTAACACCAAGACTGGTGAGGGAGACTAGTCCTAGCCCCAGGGCCTAACCCAGCCCTGACAAGAGTATCTGCTACTGTTCTCAGCACGGCTAAATAGCACCAGGTGGACACATCCTTTGTTAGAGGTTTAGGTTTTTCTAAGAGGGCCTTGCAGCAATAGTGGACAAATCTCCCTTCACCTGTTTTCTTCTCAGAGCCAACTAAACTGAGCTGGAAGCAAAGGGCCTCCAGAATGCTTTGAGCAGTATAGAGTGGGCAGTCTGGGGGTGGGGTGGGGAGGACAGAGTCAAGTTTTTTAAAGTTTAAGGTTGGATAGGGGCTTACTGGTTCCTTTCTTCTCAGATCCTCTCTTCTCTCTTAGGACGGAATGCCCGACGATTTTCTGCAGTCCAGTGGGAAGCAAGAAAGAGCTGGAGGTTATTCAACTGCTCTGCAACTCTTGACTGGCTCTGGGTTGTTGAGTCCTGCTTGGGTTCACCTTGCTGGGCCAGCTCTCATCTCCTCCAGCTGTAAGTCTCTTGAATTCATCTGTTAAAGGGTGCGGCACTGCAGGCCTCAGGGTCTCACAATCCTAGATTGGCAGAGTCAGACCAGCTCTTGCAGGATACCTAGTCCC